GCTGCAATACAGCATAGAATCAACAACTTTAATCTTGAACTGCCAAGATGATGCGACATGTTGAGATTGTTTAATGAGGATCAGCCTGCATGATCACATACCTTTTACAGCATTTAGCAGAAGTGTGTTTTTCACATCCTCACGAGAGAAAATCAATTTTGAGAAGGCAAGACTTGTTGTGCAAAAAGGTTGGAAGAAATGGAATCGGAACGTAGTTGGACTTTGAGGAGTGTAATCACTCTCTTTTAGGATCAATTTGCCCCACGGAGTTGCTATAGATTACTGGCAAATTCCCTTTAGGATACAACAAAGTCTTGGTGAGAATACTGGATAGCAATTCCAGTAAATCTCTTAAAACTCTCTGCGAAACAATTGGGAAAATGACTGTCTCGTTTTTCTTTTAAGGAAGACGAAAGTGAAGGGAGTTTTGTTCATTGAAAAATTGAACAGAATTGTCCAATATATATAGTGTTTAAACTGCCAATACGGACACACCCATTCATGTCTGAAAAAATTGCAATTTGGACATAACCCTTTGTGTGTGAAAATCGTCATTCGGACACAACCCTTCATGTCATTGACATGAAGGGTTGTGTCTGTCTAGTCCACTCACCCATTTTCTCTATTTATAATAGTAAATAACACTTTAACTTATAAAGAGACCAAAACTTTCCTTTCTTTCTTATGTGGGATAAGGAAAATGTCTTGTTTGTTTGTTTTACAAACAAATACCCACAAGACTCGCAAAACAAAAATTATAGGCAAAAGGACACTATAAGTGCTATAAGTTGTGTACGGAGATAACTTTGGTGCCATAACTTTTTTTCGGATCACTTTGGTGTCAACTTTTTTGAAAAACGATCACTTTAGTGCCAATGTTGACATGGCCGCCGGAAATCTGATGTGGCTCTTTTTTTATTAATTTTCGATGCTGACATGGCTCGCCGGAAATCTAACGTGACTCTTTTTTTTGTCAGAATTTTGGCCGGAGTCACTAAAGTGATCTCTTTTCCTCCGACTTGGCACTAAAGTGATCCGAAAAAAAGTTATGGCACCAAAGTGATCTCCGTACACAATTTATGGCACTTATAGTGTCCTTTTGCCGAAAATTATAATGAACAAAGGAAATGCTAATGCCACGATCCTCAAATACTCAAATTAAGCTCTCTTTGATTACTTTTTTTTTCTTTTGGTGGCGCTGCGTGCGCATGTGTGCAGATTTTAATCCAGAGCCAGACTCAAGTATCTGTGCATGATTGAAGATCATCCAGAAGCTCAATAATTCCAGATAACCGCCAACACCACCCCCACCACCCCCACCCCCCACGCCCCACCCCCACCCCCCCCCCCCCGAAAAAACCCAAACATCGAGATTGAGAGAGATCGAGAGAGAGAGAGGAGCAAGGCTCTTTCCCAGCTGCAAGTGCCATAATCACATTTATGAGGAGGCCAACAATCCAAAGTGGCACAGATGTAAATCACCGTCTGTCTCAGCAACGGATGCTGTTCCATTGATGAAAAAAGTGCCAAAAAGAACATATTGAAACTATATAGCAACATAGATCTGTTAAATCAAAATGACAAAAAGTTCAGGACTCTGAACATACATTGTATCTAAGAGGAAGAAAATTGCGGAAAGGGGAAGAATCAGAATAGTAAAAGATGTTACTTGAATTCCAGTTATGTCCTTGATCTTATTTTACTTTCCACTACATTGTTTTTGCTTTCGGTATGTAAGAGAAGCTTCTATACTCTCTGCTCGTTCAGGTTGCTCATGAGAGAAAATAAAGAAATTTATTCATTTGCATCAACACCACCATGCACTGTAAGGCTAATAAATTTCTTTTTAAGGAATGTACTCTCGTCAATTTTTCAAACATTGCCGAATCCATATAATTCACAATGAATTCGTATTCTTCACAAAGGTACTCTATTCTTTTTCAGAAATGTAATCTGCCAAACAATGAATTTGAATTTGGTGGAGCCAATAGAGAAATGCATATGAAATAAGTTTGAAACTTAGGTTGATGTAAAATCATCCGACGCGACCATCATTCACCATTCATCACTCGACATTCATTTTCACCCAGTTATCCAATTTCCTGATGAGAACCGACATGGCCCAAGGAATCTCGGTTTTTCCAAACAATGGGGAGAATTTGGATTAAAGTCAGCAATATTAGCTGCAATGTTGGGAAACAAACAGTCCTTTCGCGGGTCAGAAGATTACCAGTTTGTGATTTTTGGTGATCAAAAAATTAGTTTGGGGTAAATTTATCACATGTGTACCAATTTGGAACTTTTCGTTGTATTAACCCTTTTTTTATAAATATATTGTCATTTATGAGTTTTTGTAATGACAACAAATATTCAAATACTCGAGCTTGTGCAAGAGAACCTTCTAAAATCAAATTTCCAAAGAAACAAAAAATCCAAATGTTCCCATAAAGTTGACGAAAAGTTGACCTGAATGAGAATGGTATGTTCTATTAAAATTTAAGAGTCGCGCATTTTCCACTTCTCTTTGGCTTATACACTCTATTTTTTTGTGTTTTGACCATACTATCCCTTGTGGGACCCACCACTTATGATACAACTATACAAAAGTGAGTTTTTTCAGGGAAAATACCACCAAAAACCCTAAATTATGCCACTTGTGACAAATTTACCCTAAACTTTGTTTTGTGACACGAAAAACCCAAAACTATGCCACTTGTGACAAATTTACCCTGAACTTCTTTTTGTGAAACTAAAAACCCAAAACTATGCCCATTGTGACACATTTACCCAACAACACTTTGGCGCAAGGGCATTTTCGTCTTTTTCCTTTTTCTGTTTTTTTTTTCCTTTCTTCTCTCTTCCCTCTGTCGGTCATGGCGAAGGGAAGTCGGCGAGGGCGGCCCTCGCCGAATTTGGCGAGGGCGACCCTCGCCGATGCTAGGCGAGGGTTGCTCTCGCTGGTGTTGGGCGAGAGTCGTCCTCGCCTGAGTCCCTCACCCGAATCAGGCAAGGCTACCCTCACCAGCGTCGGGAGAGAGTCGCCCTCGCCGGCGTCGAGCGAGGGCAGCCCTAACCCGACTCAGGCGAGGGTCGCCCTCGCCCGACGTCGGCGAGGGAAGCCTCGCCTGAGTCGGGCAAGGGACTCAGGCGAGGGTTGCGAGCCCTTGCCTGACACCGGCGAGGGTCGCCCTTGCCAGATCGGGCGAGGGCAGCCCTCGCCGGCTTCCCTCCGCCATGGTCGGCGGAGGGAAGAGACAAAAGGAAAAAAAAAAAAAGAAAAAAGACAAAAATGCCCTTGGGCCAAAGTGTTGTGAAGTAAATGTGTCACAATAGGCATAGTGTTAGGTTTTTAGTGTCACAAAAAAAGTTCAGAGCAAATTTATCACAAGTGGCATAGTTTGGGGTTTTTGATGGTATTTTCCATTTTTTTTATTATTTGGTCAAATCTTTTTATTTTGTTTCTTCTTTTTCCTTGCAGGTTCCACTTTCCTTGTTCCTTTCTTTCCATTCCTTTGATGTCTCAGTATTCTGCTCTTGCAAATCGTCTTTTTCTTTTCTCTCTTGCAAGATATTACCTTCTTCCTACACCTGCCACCCCTTCTTCTTCCACAAATCTCTCCTGCATATGCAATCCCAAAAAAAACTGCTTACTCAAACAATCCACGCCATCTTCATTCAATATCGGAGGTACGGTTTTGGTAGTTCAAAAACAAGTTCAACTCTACACACAACTAGAGTTTAGGGGTAAAAGCAACATTTGCAACACAAATGAAAGAACAAATGCATCATTGTAGCGGTGTGTTCCAAGAAATTAATCTATCAAAGCACAATTTTTATTTCAACACTCAAAAACTGCAATCAAATTAAACCACTAATTAAAATCCCGCTTCGTATTACCTAAAAGAACACAACTCACCTATTGCCTTTCACTTTTATGCTTGCACATGGTAGAGACACCTTTTCTTTTTCTACACTCACATGTGCAAGAAGAAAAATATTAAAAAAGAGAGAGAGAAGCATTACCTTCCATGGCGCAAGAAGAGCCTATGTGCAGCGGAGAAAAAATGGCTCGTTGGGGAGGTCACAGGTGAGCCCAATGCCGGTGCTAGCGAAAGTGTGGACGACAACGAGGTTGGCATCGTAGAAAGAATAGAATGACCTGTAAGAGAGAAAACATAGCGACGATTTGCAAGAGTAGAGAAGACATCAAAGGCATGGAAAGAAAGAAAGAAGAAGGAAAGTGAGAGCCGTAAGAAAAAAAAAAAACAAAATAAAAAAGTTGATCACTTTGTACCATAAGCGGTGTACCCCAAAAGGGATAGTATGGTCAAAATATTAAAAAAGGGAGTGTCTAAGCTCAAAGAGGAGTGGAAAAAGTGCGATTTAATTTAATTGTAAGATGAATCTCTAACACTTTAAATCATAATCTCTTAAATCTCTAATACTTTTCGAATTTAAGCGACAAATCTTTCTATTTTTTCCCAATTCTGATTGTGCGTGAAGTGTGTGCTCTTTTGCTCGATAATTTTGCACATTCACGCAATTTATTCGATGTCCATATTTTTCATTAAAAAAATGCACAAACAAGACCAAATGAACACCGTGTAAATGAATAGACTAGTCGAGATTACATAAGATAAGATAAAAAGTCTGCATGACTTAAAATCTGAATACCAATAAGGAAGAAAATACTTTTCCTTTTCTCCTTTAGCAACAAATGGCAACACGGGAGTGTGAAAAAGGAAAACAAGTTAAGAAAAAAGGGCAATGAACGATTTGGCATGTCATCATAAAATCTTTATTATCAATTGCTTTATAAATCCCAGATCAAACCCAAATTTAAGGTTTCCACCACAAACTTTTTCCCCACAAATTTTATGTAAAGCCGATGGTGAATTAAGATAGGTATGTTATCGAAGTAATAAAGGTATGCAAAGCCATTGGCAAGAACAACTCTTTACAGAATGAGGAAGTGAGCTTAGGCTCTATCCCTAATACTGTCAATGGCCAAACTACAAGATGAAAGAGAGATTCAAGTCTAGAATCAAGAATCTACTATAAATTCTTGAAAAGGAAATTGAATTTGTAAAAAGGAACTAATGAGAAAAAATTCAAAACTAAATGGTTCCTCTTTCGACCTTTAGGATAGAAGATGGCAGGAATGTCTCAAATCAAGGGACCACTATTTGGCTTGCACGAGACTTGCTCATGACTTGCACATGGTTTGCACGAGCCATGAATTCAGGCCATTTTTATTATTGTGCTACTTGTGACAGCATGTCACGGTTTAGTTGCCTGATAACCCTACCACTAAGATTGATTAGTTACCTGAGTTGAACCGAGGGTGTAAATTGCGGAATAATGACGACCATGAATCACCATGTCAGCCAACATCGCAAGTGGTATGGTGAGAGACATCCCTAGTGTAGCCACTATTGATGTTGTCCATACAACACATAATGCCCTACAAAATAGTCAGACACGTGGGTCCATAAAGGTACATACCAGAAATAATCAGAAATAGTCGGAAAGGACACTTCCAACAAAGCCATTGGCAAGAACACATTCATCTATCTTTATAGAATGAGGAATTCTGAGCTTAGGCTCTATCCCTAATGCTGTCAATGGTCAAACTACAAGATGAAAGACAGATTCAAGTCTAGAATCAAGAAGCCACTATAAATTCACGAAAAGGACATTGAACTTTTAAAAAGCAACTAATGAGAAAAAATTCAAGATGACGATATTGCGGAAGTTCTTATTACAATCATCACCCCTCTAAAATGTGGAGCAGAATGTCTTGAAATTTTTTTATATTCTTTCTCTGGAAAAAAAGAGAGGACTGAATGGGTCCTCTTTAGACCTTTAGGATAGAAGATGGCAGGAATTTCTCAAAATCAAGGGACCACTATCAGGTTTGTACGAGATTTGCGCATGGCTTGCACGAGGCTTGAATTCAGGCCATCTTTATTATTGTGCTACTAGTGACGGCGTGTTGTGGTTTAATTGCCTGATAGCCCTACCACTGAGATTGATTAGTCACTTGAGTTGAGCCGAGGATGTAAATTGCGGAATAAGGATGACCATGGATCACCATATCAACCAACATCGCAAGTGGTACGGTGAGAGACATCCCTAGTGTAGCCACTAATGGTGTTGTCCATATAACACATAATGCCCTACAAAATAGTCAGACACGTGGGATCAGGAAATGGCATGTGTGAAATGTCTTATCAAAAAAATAAAGGTACTTACCAAAAATAGTCGGAAATGACACTTCCAACAAAGCCATTGGCAAGAACAACTTCTTCCATCTTTACAGAACGAGGAATTGTGAGCTTAGGCTCTATCCCTAATGCTGTCAATGGCCAAACTACAAGATGAAAGACAGATTCTAGTCTAGAATCAAGAAGCTAAAATAAATTCATGAAAAAGGAACTAAAGAGAAAATATTCAAGATGATGATGTTGCAGAAGTTCTTATTACAATCATCACACTTAAAAAATGTGGAGCAGAATGTCTTGAAATTTTGTTGTTTTCTTTCTCTGGAAAAAAAAAAGCACTAAATGGGTCCTCTTTAGACCTTTACGATAGAAGATGGCAGAAATTTCTCAAAATCAAGGGACCACTATCCGACTTGCACGAGACTTGCACATGGCTTGCACGAGGCTTGAATTTAGGCCATCTTTTATTAAGAGAGAGAGGATCTTATAAAGCCACCATAGAGCTACAAGGATAAACAATCTAGTGTATCCAAACAACTTGTGCACATCAACTCCCTCCCCTACTTCACGAGCAAACTTATTGAGAAGTACCGTAATATTTGATTTAGTTCACTAGTAGGTTGATATAAAATAGAAGGACAATATTGTGAGAGAGAGTATTAAAGAATGTTGGCCCAAAAGGATGCCGATGAATCGAGTGAAAAGGCCTGAAGTGGACGATAATACAGTCGTACTAGTAACACTTGTTCTTGCGAAGGCCACATTTGATAAATATTGCAATCCATACAATATTGTCAATCAGCACCATGCAGTTCCTGCTCTATTGTATGAAGCTTGATCCTGCTCCTACGATTAACACAATAACTACTACAAAATATTGACTTGAATCGGACCACGTTTCGCACGTTGTTTACTTGTCTATCATTATCGTTTTTGATGTGATTATCTCAATTTGTCTACATTGTTTTCATATCTTGATTTGTTTGTTTTCATTTGTCTAATCTGGCTTGCACGCAGCTTGAACACGGCATGCACGTAAGAGGAGTGTTGAAAGATTCTCATATAGCTTGATAATGAGTTTTTTAATACTCTTTGTACTCACGTGGTCTCTCTAAAAGCTAGTTTACTGAAGAAAAGGGAGGGAAACACCCAAAGAATGGCACCGCAAACTTTGCAAGTCAGCTACATTTCATTATACATGATTAAAGTATGATACTAAAGTACCAAACTTTAATCCACATATATATGGAAGTATGAACAACAGCATCACTAAGAAACTTATAAAGAAGTGTTAAATTTGAAATCGTTAGCTGCCCAAGTTTTCTCGACAGTTGTCATGGCAACACGGATCATGATGAAGACTGCAACAACTTTTGATACATTTAAGGAATCTTGGCCCAAAAGGACGCGGATGAACAGAGTGAAAAGGCCTAAAGTGGACGATAGTACAATCGTACTAGCAACAAGTTTTTTTGATGAGGGAAAAAACCAACTGAATAATATTTAACGACAAACTACCTGAATATTAATCATGTGTCCAAGCAACACGATGAGTACCTCCTTTGCAGGTAAAATAGTATCAAAAGAACCATCTGGATAGTATCCGAATTAGAATGTTTTCTACGTATCGACACCTATAAAGAAAATTTATCGATGGCTGTGGGATCGGTATCGACAAGTAGCTGAGGAGTGCTTGATGAAGCTCATCGATAAAACGAGCGAAGACTTGTTCATTCCAAATTTGGCTAAGTGTTAGAAGCAAAGAGGGAACATGAAGACAAGAATAACAACTGAAAGCAAAGATACCGAGAGGCGTTTGAGTAGCCCAGTAGCCTTGGAAGTTGCAACTGGTTATGGATGAGATCGGTGTATGGATAAAGGGGTTGGAATCTCAGGAGCGCAATTACAACCGTACTTGGCATAATAACTGCTAATGAGTAGTTATAATTAACGTTTATATATATGGCATCATGTGATTATGTGAGAGATCCATCATCTGGCATTAAAAACATATATTCGCAATGTACTTTTCTCAATTTATTAATAATATTGTCTCTTCAATTTCCATTATTGCATGGTCTTTTACTTGGAAAAAGTACCAAAAAAGTCCTAAACCTATTGCATTGGTATCAATTTAGTCCTAAACTTTTCAATTGAATCAATTTAGTCTCAAACATTTTCACAATGGTATAAATTTAGTCCATCCGGCTAATTTAGACAGAAAATCACTAATGTGGATGTCGGCATCCACGTGGACATTTTTTTATATTATTTTTAAATAATTTTTGAATTTTTTTCTTTTTTAATAGTTTTTTTCTTTTTTTTTCCTTTCCCCTTTCTTTTTGCTGGTGGCGATTGCCAGCTTCTTTCCCTTTTCTTTTTTCTAGTTGGGCGAGGGCGAGCTCTGGTGAGGCCGACCCTTGCCCAGGCCAAGGCGGCCTCACTGTGCCTCGCCTGGGTGAGGGTTGGCCTCACCCGGCCTCGCGTGGTAGAGGGCGAGGCTTGGTGAGGCTCACCTTGGCCTGGGCGAGGGTCGGCCTCCTCAACGCGAGACCAACCCTCGCCCAAGCCATGGCGAGGCTTGTCGTTGCCCAGGCGAGGCTTGTCATTGCCCAAGCAAGGGTTGGTCTTGCCAGATCTAGCGAGGGGTGCCTCACTGGAGCTCACCCTCGCCCTCACCCAAGCGAGGCTAGCCCTCGCTGACCATGGCCTATGGCTGATGGTCAACAACTGGCCACCGACATCAATAAAAAGAAAAGGGAAAGAAAAAGGAAAGGAAAAAAAAAGAAAAAAATCAAAAAATTATTTTAAAAAACTAAAAAAATATGAAAATATTATTAACAATGTCCATGTCCGAGTCACCGATTTCCGGCCTAAATTGGCTAGATGGATTAAATTGGTACCAATATGAAAATGTTTAGGACTAAATTAGTTAAAGTGAAAAGTTTAGGACTGAGTTGATACCAATGCAATGGATTTAGTACTCTTTTTGGTACTTTTCCCTCTTGTACCTTTAAAGTCATTTTTTATCTTTGTTGCAACACCGATCGAATTCCTATCTGAATTACCATTGAAACTATTTCAACAAAACCAAAAATCAACTTTTTGGTGAAAGGTTTTTCACTATTTGGGTTGGCACCCATTTTTGGTGAAACACTTTCGTATCAACACATTGTCTTGCCGGGAAATAAATAGTTAGCATCACAAAGCTACAAAAGACGAGTGCATAATCAACATGTACAAAACTCACCATAATAAGGAGTAGGTTCTGCAAGCTAGCAATTCCTTGTAGGTTGAGTTCCTGTAATCCACGAGTTCATTGTTTAATTTTGGGAGAAATCTACAACCTTTTAGATAGTTAGCAAGGTCCTGCAGAAACAAAAGGCAATTCACACCATACTTAATTGAAAGAACATTCAGACTTTGTGACACAATGGCAAGTGAAATGAGGTTTTGCATTGAGAAAAATCACTAGCAAATCAAACACATGAAGCTAAAAATAGGGAATCACGAACATATGCAGAGGTCCTATATTATAAGAAGAGTATTGTGTGCCACTTATATTGGGATAATTATACAAATTTTCACTGGATATTATAGAAAGATGTACAAAATTAGGACCATGAAGAGATTATAAACAAAAAATCATCCTATCTAAACATTTTTCTCTCTTAACGCGGAATCATACTCAAAGTGGGAATCTTCACATGACCAGCGGGTGCCAAGTACTCCTGTGATTGTAGAAAGGTTCCCGAACAAAACAAGAAGATGATGTTATACAGTGAAGTATGAAAGAAGAGAGACAATTAGTTTGGCAAAATATTTCTACGGTGGACGTGTAAACAAGCTAGTAATTGATGATGCAGAAAAAGTAACCTGGATAAGACTTTGAGCAAGATTATCCTCGGGTATCGATATAGCAAAACGGTAATGTATATCACAAAATGACTAGGAAGCCAAGCCAAACCTGGACATTGTCAGAGTACACCCCTAGGAGCTCGATCATATAATCCTCGAGAAGGCAGAAGATACCAGACTGTAAAAGAAGGCAAAAAATTAAAATAAGCAAACTTCAACCTCCCAGTGACCTCAACCAAGGGAACATTAAAGAATGGTATATCCTAATGCCAGATCAATCTAAAAACCATGGTAGAAAGAAATGCGTGTCAGAGCTTACCCAAAGAGAAACATCCTGTGTCCTAAATTAGGAGATCAATGATATTTGGAAATAAATATAGAAAAGACTTGAAAAGACAATTTCTTCTCGTTTTTGCCGTATACAATTATACTGGACAGAACTACTCTCAATTAGCCAATCAGATTATCTCTTCATCCTATATAGTCTTCCGCATTTCGTGAAAGCATACTTAACTTTCTCGCTTACAATATCACAAACATAACAAGCTACCTTTTCTTTGCTAAAACTTGGCAAATAGGTTGGATCAATCGGGAAAGGAATGAAGTACTCACTCCACAAAACAGTATAGACACAATTCGAGCGTGGATAACTGCTAGTGATATGAAGTTCTTCACCTATTCCATGAACAGAGAAACAAGCCTGCTCTGTTACAACAGTTAACGGAAGCACTCTGGAGAAGTAATTTAGCTTCCTAATGAATTGATCAATTATTTTGACCAAAAAAAAATTCATCAATTATATTAGGTGACATCACGTGGTTTCATGTCTGCAGTGTAGGAAAATATTTGCTGCGAGATATCCGACTACAAAAGAAGGGAAAAAGACAGACGTACCAACTTCCATCCAAAGTTCTCCATTTTCTGGTGGTCAAGATCGTGATTGTAGTCATTAGGAAATTCAAGTGTACCATTAATGAAAATTTATTGCAAACTTACTAGAGCTTTTCCATTATATAAATTGAGGATTCGGAGTGTTTAGGAAAATGAATATGTTTTTTGTTTCGCGAAGCAGAAAATCTGATGGCAAATAGGAGAATACTGCATCAGTTCAAAACGCAATATTTTATATAAAACATGGTCAGCGTTTGATTAGGTCTAGGGGCTTTCAATGGACCCAATTGAAAAACAACGTTTTAAACTTCATCTTTTGTAACAGGTTGGTGTAGGAAATTTTGCTGGTCCACTGAAGATAGCGACCAGTGCTCCGTTACCTCGGCTTGGTTTGTCTTTAAGAGAAGGAAGATAAGTCTGCACACTTTCTCTCCGAAGGGTGATTTGACTTGGAAACATCTAAGGACTTCTTAAAATGGTAATCTTCCCTGATTTGGATTCAACTCCACCATGCAGAACAATATCCAAGTTGGTAATTTGAGAGTGAGATGCAACATGCAAGTTAGATCCAGAAGTAACAGGAAGTGTAGGTAGAATCAGGAGAGGTTCTAACTCTGCATTTTTTGTAGGGAGGCTCAAAGGAAGCCCAGCTTATTATCTTGGCTCGAGCGAGGCTCAGCCGTAGTTCAGAGGCCCAAGGAGATGAATATGGGCCCAAAGCTTTTGCTTTTCCATCTTTTTAGCGGAGACGGTATGATGTGTGAAAGTAGCATGTTGCATATGTAAGGACGGCCATGCACGATGGTTTCTTGCTGTGCAGTAGGTATGCCTCGTGATTACTATCATTAGCTTTGGGATGAGCAATCCTTTTCTGATAATGTAACACGATTTCTTTGTTGAACGGTTTGCCCAAAAAGCATGTAGGTCGAGAGATAGATGGAGAGGAGTGATCAGGCAAAAAAGCTAGCTCTCAATGCTAAACACAAATCATGCCCGGAGTAAATAATCTGGCGTGGGATATAGATGGAGCAGTTCCTGATTGTCTTGAATACGTTTGAACATATACACATACATAAACGTAGATTCTATACCAATCTGATTGCTCAAATCGATCATATCCTCATTCACAAAACTATAATGAACAGGCAGAGATTTTTGGAACCCTAATAGACATAAATGTGTTTGGTGCACATGCGCTTATCCAAAAAGGGATAGACATGAAGAAAACAACAGTTACAAACATCTTGCACATAGTGTTATGAATTCTGATACCAATCCTTCAAAATTATCGACACATGACTAAAACAACTTTTTGGAGTCCTCTAATTCAACGGCATTGTACAATGGCATGTGGTAAGTTTTTGTTTCATAGAGGATCTAATGGAGACGTTAATTGCGATGACAAATATACATTGAAACTTGTGAATCATCGTGTTTTCTTTTAAATGTGAATTTCACAATTTCTTAAAACATGATTGACTTGATTTCTTGGAATGGGTTCAAATAATATGATCCCATGGACTAAGCTATCTTTTTTCTCAACAAATGAATCTACCTTGCTTATTTTCCCCATTTCTGGTAGTCTAGAGCATAAATTTGTTCACTGCCGATTGATTTGAGGCTTCTTAAAGGGAGTGAAGTGAACCAACCCCGGGTCCTTTGCTTGTGAGTGAGTCCTTCATGTGCGATGTCATCTCTCTGTCTTTTTACCTTTTTTGCTCTCACTTTATTCATCTCACTTTCCGACACATTACACAGTACAATAGTATACAATACACCATTAATTGTCTATCTTTGGATGACAATGGTTGATGAAGTAAACTAGTTGGATAATGCTCGTTGAATGTTTGATTAGTTAGAATTACCCCACCTTGATGGCACTATCCTTGAAGGTTTTTTAGAATATTCACCTAGCCCAAGAACCATCGGAGACGGTACTCATCGCTGCGTACCATGTTCCAGGAAGTAGCATCCATCGTGGGTAATGGTTTTGATATATGATAAAAAAAAGTGGAAGACCCGATTGGACAAAAGTCAGAAAGTCAAAATAAAATAAGAAGCCTCCCAAAGGGGAAGACCAGATGGGACAAAAGTCAACAGGTCAAAGTAAAAAAATGAGAAGCCTCCCAAGTGGAACACCGGTAGGCACAGAAGTCGAAATACAATAAGAATCTGCTGGGGAGACGTGCCCGTTTGATTCTTTTGTTTTTGCTGTTTTTTAGTAGTCCATCTTCCGTTCAGCAAGATTCGCCCGCTTTCTTATTATATTTGCGTGCGGGAGAACAGCAAATTCAAAGAGACAGACCAATGTGATTTTACGGGAACTATTCTTAAACCTCATATTTTCACATTTTATCTAAGTCATTAACAGTTCATTCATATTTTCACAGGTGATGGCTAGCCGCCAGCCATGACTAGGCAGGCTAACCTCGCTTGGGCGAGGTTCACTGTTGCCGTCATAGGTGAGCCCTAGAGAGGGCTCCCCTCCCTAGATATGATGAAAGTTGGCCTCGCTAGATCCGGTGTGAAGATCCCTCGTTGGGGCTCGCCTTTACCAAGGCGAGGCCCCCAGATATTGCAAGGGAAAACCTCGCAGGGGCTCACCCTTAGCCTATCGGACCTCATTTATGGTGGGCGACGGCGACCCTCACCCAAGCGTGGCCAGCTTGCCCGCCCGACCATCGCCTATGGCAAAATGAAGAAGAAAGGAAAAAAAAATAAAGAAAAAGGGGAAAAAATCAAAAAAATTATTAAAAATTATCCACGTCAGCATCAGACGTGTCATGTAGCCGGTATTCACATCAGCGAAGATGTACCCAATTGACAAAATTGAAAGGTTTATAACTAAATCGGTAAAAGTGAAATAGGTTTAGGATTTTGTGAATAATTTTTCTCTTCTTGTCTCGATGACACCGCCCTTGAAGGTTCCTTAGAATATTCCTTGGCTGGAGAACTAACGAAGATGGCTCTCATTGCTACCAACCCATAAGGGGAAGGCGTATAAGTTTATAGTTTTTTTTTTTTTGGTAAGGTAATATAAGTTTATAGTTACCATGTTCTAGAAACTAGAAAGCATCTTCCGAGTAGAATGGTTTTGATTTTGATGAAAAGTGGAAGAGAAGATGGTTCAGAACTCATAATAAACAAAGAAGTTGCGGGGAAGACCGGGCAGTTGAGTCTTTCTTTTATGATAATTCAAGTGTCAAAATAAAGAAAAAAAAAGCAGCTGAGATAAGCCTAAGCTATTGATTTTATTTGAACGATTGATGGATCATTCGTATATATATAATAATCTCCCGTTCGACGCTCTTAAGAAGTTTAAAGAAATTTCGTCCCCAACATCTTTCCTTTAGCCTAGTAATCTTGAAAGCTCAAAGAAATTTCTCCTAATTGAAATCATTGCTTAATGATTATTGTCACTGCTATGTTATTTTTAAAGTAATATTTCTTTCCGTTTATACAATTTAATGATCACTAAAAAACAAGTTGGTTTTAGCGATGAATTTTGCCACGAAAAATTTGGCAAAATTCATCGCTAAACGAATTTGCGACTGAAAAAAATTCGTCGCTAATAGGCTGTCGCAAAATTTTGCGACGGAAAATTTCAATTTTTGTCGTTAATTTGCGACAAAAAAAAATTCGTCGCTAATTATTCGTGGCAAAATTCGTGGCTAATTTGCGACGAAAAAAAATTCGTCGCTAATTATTCGTGGCTAATTTGCCACGAACTATATTCGTGGCAAAATTTGTCGCTAATTTGCCACGAACTGTATTCGTGGCAAAATTTGTCGCTAATTATTTATGGCAAAATTCATTCCTAAATATTCGTGGCAAAATTCGTCGCTAATTTGCCACGAACTGTATTCGTGGCAAAATTCGTCGCTATTTTTTTCAATTTTTTTTTTGTTGGTCGCAAAATTGCGACGAAATCTTTTCGTGGCAAAAATTGTTGCTAATTATTTGTGGCAAAATTTATCGCTAATTTGCGACGAACAAATTTTGTGGCAAAATTCGTGGCTAATTTGCCACAAAATTTTTTTTGTCGGTTTTTTGCGACGAACTTATTCGTGGCAAAATTCGTGGGTAATTTGCGACGAACACATTTCGTGGCTAATTTGCCACCAAATTTTTTTTTTGTCAGTATTTAGCAACGAACTTATTCATGGCAAAATTCGTCACTAATTTGCCACGAAAAATTTTGACTTTTGCCACGAACATTGTTCCGAAACGAATTTGGCGACGAATTTTAATGAATAATTTAGCGACGAGGTCTGCGACGAATGTTGTTTAGGGACGATTTCGATTTGAAATCTAATTAACAGAAATTATAGAATTTATATTTAACATTGATAGAATCACAGTCAAGACAAGAACAAACACAAAAAAGAAAGAAATGGAACAAAGCACTAAATTTGTATGAAAAATCCTTGAGAGGATCCAACAAATTCAACTGCTTCAAATCTAGTTCGCTCTCTTGTTGCAACTGTTGATTTTGCCAAGAAGTTCTTTCACGTAGTCACGTAGTCTATAGTGTCTCCAAGAATCGAAGTCCTGTCCATCTGCAGTGCAAACATCACAATATCAAACTCCTAACCCCTCTTAATTTTTTCACATCTATTCAACAGCAGAAAAAGAGGTGTTCAAAAAAGAATATATTAGGCTATGCTCACACAAAAGACCAATTCCAGAGGGCATGTATGCAAACCGAACGCTTATTGTCATGTAGCATAAAAAATGATATAAGTACCTCTTGCATTAACTTAGTGAACCCAAGGCACAATTCTCTGCGAACTGACTCGTCAAATATCTAAGCCAAAGTGATATCTTGTAAAGCCACCAAAAGTGGTCTCTAACATGTCAAGTCCTGCCTAGTTTGCAAAGACGAAAATTGGAATAGATTGCCAAACCAAAAGGATGACTGTCATTAATCATTCCTAATTACATACATGGCAAAATTCACTTTTAACAATTTCGAGTAATACAAATAACAGATAACAACACAATATGGCATCATGATCATTCCAAAGATTCTTCAAAGAATCAGTGCCAAGTAATTCAGATCCCAGCAACTTTGTTCCTAGAATGCACGTGCGTGCGTGAACAAGGGAGAGAGATAGCCGAGCATCAGCTTGATTAGTCCATTGTCTCTCGTGTACATATGCAAAAATAGTTGTTGAACTTATAACAGTTGTTGAACTTTTAACAGAATCGATACATGTGCATTGAACAAATGCAACAACTAATAACTTGTCCTATAAATAAATAGATAATGCTGAAGCAAGATTACCCTCGAGTTTGGAAATTTTAACTAGCAAGGATCATCATCATCATCAGCATCATCATTAGCACCATCATCAGCAATGTCATTATCATTGTGTCGCTCATCATTGTGTCCATCACCTATTGGATTAGTAGGAGGTACAGGAGGAACGTCATCGTGATCGAGGTTGAGGTGTCACATGATCAATTGTAAATGTTGTTTCACTCCTCTTATTTCTTCGTCATTCTATGCAAGTAAATGTTTCAGTTGGTTCAATTCTTGGGTCATTTGCTCCTCGTGTTGTGTCCTCCTTAAAAAAGCCGAATTGAAGGATGAAGTTGTAGCAGCCGACGTTGTGTATATCCTTAACAAGGATCCCATCCCAAATATTTGACCTCTTCTCATTCCACCAGATGCCTCCACTCATAATGCCATACTGTCAACCGATGACTCGGACGCAGCAACACCATCACCATCACCATCACCATCACCACTAGCAGCAGTGCTCATTACAAGTTCATCATATTTGTCCTACATTAATAATATAGATAAAAAAAAAACTTCATATATATAAATATAAAATATAACCTTACATACCTTAATAGCTTTTGCTCGATTGCCAGTCCATGTCTTATCTTTTTTCTGAAATGTGCATTCAAATGTAGCTATAAATATCGGTTCCGTCCCCAATTCATCTGCCTACAAAATATAAACATAAATGAGTAATCATTGAATTAACTTACAACATGTTTAACAAACTTACCATTCTTTTTCTACGCTCCCCGATGTTGATAGAGCCCCCAGCATATATGGCAGACCCTTCACTAGAACTAGAAGCTCGATTCTTCTTATTTATTTCACTGATTTGCTTATGCTTTTCGGTGTCTCAAGTTCTCTTAATTTCTGCCCAATTGTCAGCTGTAATAAAATCCGGCTTTTCTTGACTTTTCTTTGCTCTATTCATCACATTTCGCATGTGATCACTGGCTTTTTTCTTAAAAATTCTTCTAACTTCTTTCTCTTCCGCTTCATCTCACCTGAACTTCTGCTGTAAGCAATCAATAGAAAAACGATTGTACACTCAGTATGCTAAATCGAACTTAGTTTGTGCGAAAATAGAAGGACAAAACTTATCTTGAACTCATTCCACCACAGTTCCTTTACTTCTTTTGGAGCGGTGGTCCAACTACTATACTGCCCCATCCAACAGTTATTGATTGTTTTATTAAGTTTCCTCACAACATACGTAGCATCCGTGAATCTGCAAACAGGTTATAACGATGTCAACATACGTAACATTCGTGAAGCATATGGATAATTCAATTGACATCGATAATAATTTACATATACTTAAAAAAAATGAAGTACTTACGAATATCCAAATGGGGATATCATGAATCGGCTATCTTCTTCATCATTCGAGTGTTGCATTGAAGAAGAAGGTAGAACCGAAGGCGATGGAACTGAAGTAGATTCAGTTTGCATTTGAGGGTCGGAGGAAGGGCCAATGTGTCCATCAGCATGTACTGGTTGAGGGTTAGATGAAAGGGCAGGGGAAGAGGAAAGGGACGGGGACGAGGACGAGGAAGGGGAAGGGCCTGGTCTTCTTTGTGAAGCTACACCACGACGCATGTGACCTCCACGTTTATACTAACAAGTTGGAAGGTTAGACAAATATGTTAAAAAATATGAATATGTATTAGGGACACATAATGATGTACGTCGTGAAGCTTACCATTTTGTTTTTGAGAGCAAGAGATAAACTTAGCCCCTAATAAAAAGCAAGCAATTCGGAAATATATACGAGCTTAATTTCTGGTCGTACAACAGTAAAATAGGGATAACAACAGCAATAATAAGCAGTATTCCAGAAAAACATATGCTGCTTGGTCGGTGGCAGCAAACAGCCCAATATTCATCAAAAGAAAATTAACTTCCAGCCACTAAAGTTGCAGCAATAAGAGCTAAACAACACTACTTGTTGCAAAAGCTTCCCAACTACCAGTTTACACTCGAAGGTGCTCAAGTGTGACGATTGGAGGACAGGCAAACAAAAGGATTGGTTGAACACATAAGGATTTAATCTTGCCTGAAGTCTAGTTTTAATGGTGTCAATTGGGTAAAGTGCTGCTTCAACAACAACACCAGCCGTACCTCCAGCAACAACGCCCTCTGCAGAGTCAATGAAACACAGTCAGAAAATCAAAGAAAACTCTTCTTTCATTCTGTGAGATATACTAGCGATTAGTTTGTCGTTCCTTAAAAGGAATAACGTCAAATTTTTACCAGCAAATTTACACAAGAGGAAAATGTCTTTCTAAGGTCAAGAAGAACACACAGAGAGTGTGATGTCCCAAAAGAAGGGGAAGTGCATATAAGAAGGGAGAAAAATTGATCAAAATGACTGCAAAAGAGTCCTGCTTTACCATTTATGATGCTACAGTTGAAGGAAGTAATGAGAGAAAATGAATCAAAAACATTTCGTCAAACAAATTTTCGCGTACCCAATACAAAACCAACATTTTCACTTATAATTTAGCGAAGAATTCAAGATGCACCAAAAAAATATCGACAAATTATACATTCACCACCAGCTTTGATATCAATGCCCCGCCCAGAACTAAACACCTTGAACTCAAGGTCTAGCAAGAGAACATACCATACACTATTCGCCAAAAATCAAAAGGCCGGCCTTCCCTGACACCAACTTGCAGAGACTTCCCTACTAGGCAATTAGCAAAACTCACTTCGGTGACTGGATTCAGTTTACAAACAAAGAGCACATTATCTGGAGGCTTTATCTCAGCATCAGGAATATCCCCAATCTGCAATGTAGATGAGACAGATGAGGATTCTTTGTGAAGAAGATGAAGAGAACATCTTGATACAGAAGCATGAGAAAAACATCTCAGATTTACTTACACTCTCAAGCACAACTGCACTAGAGCATGCTTCCTTAACACGAATTGCCTCCTCAAGCTGAGCCGGGCCTAGTTGCTCATCCAAAGGTACCCAATCATCTTCAAGTCGCACTTCATCAACCACCTGCTTCCGACATGCATAAACAAACCATATGCTGTGAAACAAACATGAATCATTCTAGATAAACTTCTAGGAAGGGAAAAGAAAGGGCAGAGGAGACACATTAATTTCATGCCAGCGTTTCTTTGAGGAAACTTAGAACTAAAAAACACAATTGATTTACCTTACTTCTAGCTATCATAGAGAGAAGCCACTCCTTGCATTTTATCATATATTTACTCTTTAAGTATGAATTTTGGCAGCATATTCAGAGCATTCTTGTCCAACTTCAATCTCTATCAATGCGATTAAAGAGATGCCAATTTTACAAAGAAGGTGGTGGCAATACATATACTAATGTATTACTCGAGCATTTAAAATGACAGAGAGTATTTGCGATCATATTTTCTTCGGAGGCTAACTGATAATAAAATCTTTAAGCAGTCAATACCTCATCTTTCGGCTTTCCTTCGAAGGAAGCATCAGGAATCAACTCAGCTAGCTGGGGAGGGTCATCAAAAGGATCATCCAGTATATATGTGTGCCTGATCCTGCTCAAAACAAAAGGAACCATACTGCAAATAAACAAAAGAGTGACACGTAGTAATTCAATGAGCAAGAGAGTGGAATGAGAACGAACCTGATGATTTTATAGGGTCTCCCCTTTTCATCTACATAGGCTTCATTAATCTTAGTCAATGTCTCAACTCCTTCTGCAACTTCACCAAACACCTAACAATGATGAATAATTTGTTGAATACCAAGCGCAAAATGATCAATGATGCTGAAAGCCAAAATAGGCAACTCAACAAATAGGAAGCTTATTATGCAGATACGATATCACTTATATGCTATTCCAGTTTTCTTTTTTTATATTTACAATTTTTTTTCACTAAAATGAAGAAATCAATCTAAAATCGATAAGCAACAACTAAGCACACTTACAGCACACCAAAATAAACATCAATAGAACAAAGTCCCCAGCCATATACACCATTCCACGTTTATAACCACATATAAATGCCCAGAATGCACAAAAGTAGTGGGTACATTCAATCATGAAATGACTTGACAAGACTTCCCTACATGTATTCAATAGAATTGATTGAACCAATCGGTAGAGACTCCAGGATGAACTAGATTCCAAATGAGTGTTTACTAACTGAAATTGCACGTGTCTATAGTCCATGAAGATGTAATAAAAAAGACACTTCCAGGTGATAAAGAAGCCTGATCAAAATTTTAGTTGCTGCAAAACCCAGTCTAACTGCTGCTCCACTTAATTCCAACTATTCTAGTAATTTGTCTTAATGTCCAAATGAGGAGTTCGAGGAGAACATGGTCCCCGAAGAGGAAAGCTAGGGAAAAGTTAACCCTAAAATTTCCATTTGGAACACTGCAATTTGTAAACAAACCTCACAGACTTGCATTACATAGTTCGCAAGAAATCAAAGGAGCATAATAAATATTTTATTAAAATTTTGTAGGAAACATATTAAAACGAATTCAATCAACTCAACACAACAAAAATCTGTTACAGCACAATGAGTCAACGAAATTACCATCTTCGTATCACATGGACTCTTTGTTTTGCACTTAGCTCATCAGGTTCAGATCAACCATCTTCTCTTTCCATTATCAATGCATAACTAGGTCTACCATTCCTTTCTTTACTGGGCAATTGGTCTACCATTGTTTATCTTAGTCCGACATAAGCCCAATCCTTCTCACCAGCACATATACAAGACAGCTCCATGAACGACTAAGGGCGAATTCGAGAAACTCAAAAAACAGCTTCAGACTTGCAAAATCCTTTGAATGAAAGTCTTGATGTTTGAACATATTATTTTAGAACCCTTTGAGCCCAAAACCTTCCTTTTCACAGCATAATGACAAAGGCAGCTAATTACCTGCTTTCTATTAAAAGAATTTGGGAGTCCAACATTATCCTAAATGGTCCTAAGCTTCTCCAATTTGTCTACCACAATATATCCTTAATGCAGCCAACTGAAAGTCTCCACATCTACTTTATTTCTAATCATGTTTCTCACTCCTCTAGCCAAAGCAATACAACATTCTTCTTGCCTAACCTTAATTGGTCACATTTCACATACTACAACCGGCCTCACTATAGTCCTCTAAGTAAAATACTGATTGTTTTGGGTCCTAAAACATGTCAATTACCAGCTGCGATTTCCAATCGAAAGATCTTTCTACATAGCTACCTACTGAAGTTTGTGCATCCTTATTTATACCTCTTAGAAGTGACCATATTTGGAGAAGCATTATGGAGCAAGTAGAGAAGACCAAGATAATAACTTAGGCTCCATAAAGAACATGAACGACTAAATTCAAGCAGTACGATCAACAGTGGAAAAAAAAAAAGCCATCTTATCACCCCCCATCTTAAACAAGATAAAAACTATATATCTGCAATTTTGCGACTAAAACGATTAAAGGCATAGCATAAAACCATTCTAATATCTCTCCGCCCCACATGTTACAACAAATCGCGGTTCGCCCCACCTGTTACAACAAACCTACATGACATTCGTCATCACATTATAGCCTATTTTTTATTGGTTTCAATATTCAAACCTAGATATAAATAAAATAATAATGAAACGACTCCGAAACGGCACAAAAAACTAAAATCGAACTGAAATCACTGTTCATCCAGAATTGTTTTTTTCTCAAAAACCCATGTAAATGACTCCGAAACGCCAAAAAAAGACTTGCGTCACGGCCAAAGGCGGTGATTTTGGATCAGCAGGCCGTTTCCACTTGACCGATCAAATTTCAGCTCATTCCGACCACATTTCACCTCATTCCGACCAAGTTTCAAACGAATTTCAACCAAATTTCAACCCAAATCCGACCAAATTTCAGCTTATTCCGACCAAATTTCAACATAAATCTGACCAAATTTCAGCTCGTTTCCACTCGGTGAACAGAATAAATTCGCCGGAAATTCCATTTACGGCTAACAGTCAACCATTCTATTTCGCCCACAAACAGAACCATTCTATTTCGTGGGCGAAACAGAACCATTCTGTTTCGCCCACGAACAGAATCAAATTCGTGGCCGAAACAGAACCAAAACCAGCAAGCAAGCAGAATCAAAACAGAACCAAAACAAAATCAAATCTGTTTCGCCCAACGTCCAACAGAAGCAAAAACAGCAGACCCAAAACCAGCAAGCAGACCCAAGCTAAGTCGTCCAATAGAAGCAAAAACAGCAGACCCAACACAAACAACAGAAGCAGAAGTAGAAGCAAACTTCCACAAAAAAATTTAGAGAACGTACCTCTAAAACTCTCAGACGACGATTCTCGCGCTGGATGTCCTTGTGCTTCCCAGCATCCGCTGCCGAAGAACGCCGAGAATCGCGCCGAAGAACGCCGAAGGTCGCTGAGAATTGTTTGATCGAGAGAGACAAAGACAGAGACAAAGAAGAGGGAGAAGAGGAAGAGAAGAAAACCCTAAATTGTTCGAAGAGAAGAAAACCGTAATACTAGTTCTACCCGCAAATGAAGATGACACCGTTTTGCGAATTTTCGCCAAAATTAGCCACGGATTAAAATGCGTGGCTAATATCGTGGCAAATTAGCCACGGATTCAAATTCGTGGCTAATTCCGTCGCACATTAACCACGAATTTTAATCCGTGGCTAATTTGCCACAATATTAGCCACGAATTTTAATTTTGTCGAAGCAAATTCGAATCGAAATATAAAATTGTCGCGGCAAACCCTAATATTTTTTCCGTGGCTACCACGGATTTAGCCACGAATTTCATTTCTACTAGCCTATTTTTCAAATTCGTGGCTAAATCCGTGGCAAATTTGCCACAGATTTAGCCACGAATTTCATTTCTACTAGCCTATTTTTCAAATTCGTGGCTAAATCCGTGGCAAAATTAGCCACGGATTTAGCCACGAATTTGAAAAAAAATGCCCACACACGCCAGTCCTCATTTTTTTTCTAATTCGTGGCTAAATCCGTGGCTAATTAGCCACAAATTTGAAAAAAAATGCCCACACATGCCTAATTCATTTTTTTTTCAAATTCGTTGCTAAATCCGTGGCAAATTTGCCACAGATTTAGCCACGAATTTCATTTCTACTAGCCCACACACGCCTAATTCATTTTTTTCTCGACAATAACGTTTCAGTAACAATAATAGCAATAATAATAATCAACAACAACAACAATAATAATTATAATTATAATAATAACAATAATAATAATAACAACAATACTAATAATTACGATAACAACAATAATAATAAATATGACAACAACAATAAACTCTTGTCATAATAATAATAATAATAATTACGACATAATTAGTAAAAAGTCTCAAAAATCTAAATCTTCATCTTCACCTTCGTCTTCATCTTGATCTTCATCTTCTTCATGAGCATCATCGTCGTCGTCATCATCCTCTATCTCAAAATCAAATTTTGCAACACCTTCTAAATTTGATTCGTGAATTTCAGTTAGATTTACTTCTATCATTGCTCTACATGGATCTCGTAGAATTGGAATGTTATATTCTTCAGTTTGAACCGTGTTACAAACTTTCTCTTGTTGATATGTTGTATCCTTCCGGTATTTCTCGATTTTTCTTCGTGCTTTGATTTTACATACAGCCCACCAATCAGCTTTGTCACGTTTCAAACTAGGATATGATGCATAATATACTTGAATTGCTTGTTGTGCCAACACAAATGGTTCATATTTCATATACCTTTTCTTATGATTTATTTCAACCAAATTAAACTTCGTATGCACCTTCATTCCTTTGACAGGGTCGAATCACATGCACTTAAATAACACAACCCGCATTAATGGTCTGGGGTACTCTATCTCCATGATTTCATCCAACATGCCATAAAAATAATCTTTTAAACTGCCACCGTTGGATGACCGAATACACACATCACTATTCATTGTAACTTTTCCCATTCCATATTCTTGAGTGTGAAAATTATACCTGTTTATGAAATATGCTATCCAAGTTCGTACTCTTGATTTTGGACCCCATGACATCCTTGCACTTCAACTTGATCATGATTACTGTGAACTTAAGGTCACACACGCAAAGTCAATAATATATATTTAAATGATGTATAAAATATTAATAACTTGGTTTTGGTCTATAGGCAACTTACATATGTTTTGAACCATGCTGCAAATTGTTCATCGCACAAACGGTCAAACTCATTTGGTGGTAGTTTATACATTGAAGTTTGAAAAATCCTATTTACAATTTACATTTATATATTAGTAAATATTTGACACGCAATACATATATTTGCAAATATACACTTACTCGAAGTATGGCTCCACTTCTGGACAGTTCAGTAAAATATATGTATGGGCTGCCAGCCGTTCATCGCCTGTTGTTGACACCTAAATTTTGGCACATCATTTAGTGATTAATTGCATAGAAAATTAGGGATTAAATTTTAACCTCTAAACAAAAATATCAAAATCGCATAGCATATAGTTTAGGATCATATAGTTTAGTTGCATTCCGCATTGGATCAGCGGTGGCGAGAAAGCTGAAAATTCATCGCGCAAACCGAGCTCGAGCACTCGTCTCACTCAAGGGATTGTGGGCCAAAATTCACAAGTCTAAAAGGCTTTGGTTGTTTTAATTTGAGCTTAAATCAGCCCGAATTAATTTAGCCCATTTGGAATTAAAATAAAATTAAATGATAAAGCCTAAGTCTAAGCCCATTAGGACTAAGAAGCCCGGTTAATTAACCTAGGATTGCGATATAAATATGTCGTCATACGTCATAATCAAAGGTGGACTCTCATAATTTTCAGAACACAATTCCTAAGAGCATGAGAGAGAGTTAGAGCGAAAAGAGAGAGAAGGAGCTTGGCTTGATCCTCCACGGCCAAGCCCCCATCCTTTCGTGGCCAGACCTGTGGTCGCACCACCGACAACGACGTTGAACCAGCCCTCTGACGACGAAGCCACCAAGCATCGTTTGCTGCTCCGAGTTCAGCGACCACGACGTCATTATTTTTCTTCTCTTGCCAACGCGAGGACCACGAAGATCCAGCAATCGCCCGACGTCCCTACACAACCGCATCGGTTTTGCCACCGAGCTGTCTTCCCCGCGTGGACTCCTGCAAGACCAGTTTTTCTTTAGGCGATTCACTTGAATTTTTGTTGCAGGTTCTTCGCTTGATACACGCGGAGGGATAGAGGACAGACAAGTGGAAATTTTAATTGTGGGGCTTGGGAAGTCAAAGTCGATAATCAAAGAAGACTGTCACAAGACTAGCCAAATTCGGTCGGAAGTTGAGGGGTTAAACTAAGAGACCAAAGAAAATTTTCTTTGGGGATCACTCGGTGGATTTTCCTTGAAGACGTTGTAGCAGCTCCTTGCGCCACTGGCTGTGCCGAGCCAACGTCCTCGTCGGCTGGCTGTACCGCCCACGACAAGCCGGGTGCTTGCCTCTACTGCCCGCGAACCAACACCGCTCGGCCCGCCGAACCGACGCCGCTGCCATTGTGGTGTCCATGAGTCTAGATTAGCCGAGCTGCCGCATCCGCGGGCTACCACCATCGCCGCCGGTCCACCCACCGTTGGTCATCCCGATCCGCAATCCCGATCCGCGAGTTCAAATTTGGAAATATCCCGAAATTAGGTAAGAACATTATCCGATACTTTCAGAATATTTGGTTTCCTAGTTTTTTCGATATTTCAAATATTTTGGTGAATATTCTGTGGATTGCTAGGAATTTTTAGGATAATGTTTTCTTTATCCGCAATGTTCTAAGATACCCTAAATTAGGAATTTTTCCTAATTTGGCAACGTATCTGGACGACTATCTGACCTTATCCCTAAGGTACGATACGCGGCGATACGAAAAATCGTTATCTTATCCATAATCACTTGGATACGATAATAGATTTTATTTGCTTTCCAAATTTAAACAATCAACTTTCTGTCGATATCTATAACCCTATAGATATGACCGTTAGTTTGATTTCTTTGCTTTATCCGAATTTGAAGAATCTTGTGGATTGCGTGGAACGTTTGAATGTGCTTGTTATCTTTGTTTGATTGCTTTCCTTTTAAATAAAGAAAATCCAAAAATTTATTAGTTAGATTTAAATTAGAAGTTTTGCATGTTTAGGGAACCCTAAATGTATCTAGAAGATAGGATAATTATTTAATTTAAATTAGGACTTGAGATAATTTATTTCCTAGTTTAAATTAGGTGTTATTCTAATAGATTATTTAGGTTATTTTAAAATTTCGAATTTTAATAAAAAATCCTCAAAAAAAATAATCACTTTAGGATAGATCAAATCATTTTCTCTAGGATAGATTGCATGTTGATTTGAGTATTTTTAATTTCGAATTTCATTTGAAAATACCAAAAATAAATCATTTGTCCGTCATCAGAATTAGGTCACGTCGTCGCATGACATATAGTTCGCATGCTAGGTTACATTAATCGCATGTCATATTTTGCACGTCATTGCATATAGGTTAGTTTGCATTTTAATAAAGCGCAAACCCTAAAGAACACCTCGAGTGCCTTGTTTTGTTAATTAGAAATCATATTAGGATTGTCTGTATGATTTTCTACTAACAATGCAGATGCTTGCGTTGCATTAAGGTATGTCTTTCTCCTAATCTTGTAATTTATTTGCTGCTTTCTTGGATGTTAAATTGATGGTTTGCGCACCCACATGAACACCTCACATGTTAGTGATTAGGTAATAAAATGGATCCAGACTGCCTGCATAAACATTTTTGAAAAGAAAAGGTACCGAAAGGGCGTTAAACTAGATCTAGCGTAATCAAGTCCCCGAGCTTAGAATCTCTGGTTCGTAGGAATAAAACATATCTCCATATATTTTATTTAGGTTTCTAATCGACCTACCACAAATAGATTAGTGGCGACTCCAAGCATGAAAACTTTTGCATGTAAAAATCTTAAACCCTAAGTTGCGAATTGATAGGGCTTGGGAGGGCCCGAGTTAGGCTTAGTCCTAATAATCCATTAGCCTGAGAAAATTTAGGTCGCGACAGCTTGGCGACTCCGCTGGGGACTTGAGTTAAAACTTTTAGTGGACTTAGGCCAGTTTTTCTTTTCAAAAAATATTTTTGTTTGGCAGCGAAGATCCTAGGTACGTCCCTAACGTTTAAGGTGTTAAATGTTTTTGCAGAATGAGAGGTATAAGGGGAGGCGTGATTGTTAACCCTTGTTTTGTAGGGAGGTGTTTGGATGTATGGTTTATTTTATACACGAAGTGCTGTATGATATAACCTGCTGTGCATGCCTTGCATTTACACTACACCGCACACACTACCCGTTGCCGGACCTGGGCGGCACAGGTTTAGGATAGTACTGAGACAGCAGACACCCCGACCACACCCGCGTGGCATGGGTCGCCCTCCTTAGTCCCAAAAGCTCTTTCACGGTGTCATTGAGTTCCCACCACGGTTGCACCCTTTGCAACCCGGGTCAGCTCCTTGACTAAGCCGAAGTCAGGGGAACCCCGGTCTAACCACAACTATGACTGGTTTAGCCCGGTAATCCTCGTGTCTCCATTTTGCAAACCAGAGTCTAGATAAAAATCGAACCTCACATTTCATGCGCATGTTTATGTGATTGCCATGGTCCTACCGGGTAAAGTAAGTCTTCTAAACTCTCCTTTTTGCAATTTATTTAGTTATTGCATTTTTCGGGTCGGTCCATGATAGGTCTAGGTGGGTTTTAAATTTGAAAGTAATAATCATTGAGTCCTTTTTTTTAACAAAAAAAAAAAAGAAGAAAGAAAGCTCTTTTGGAGAATTATTTTCAATCTATGTCTTTATTTTCCTAAATGTGTCATAGGTCATTATTTCCTGAGAAATTTGCCATCATTTTCACAAGTACAATGTCATGAAAATGGGAATAAAAAGGGACAATTAGACTGAGTCATGGACTGATCGTTTTGAGGACGTATACTTACCATGCTCTATTTTTTAATTAGGTTATTACGGACCGTCAACGTTCCCCAATCCGTACTCGCTCAAGAGCAAAAATGACTGACCAAAATGAACAGACTCGTGTTGCTGTCCTTGAAACCGAGATGAAGCAAGTCCTGAATGTGCTCGAGAATCTCACCAAACAAGTTGCTTCCCTACAAACAAGCATTTCCACACTGTCTGCACCCGCTCAACCGAGTGTAGAGATTGTACTGCTCGATGACTCTCCTCCTGTTGAGTCAAAAGATAAGGGAAAAACCGTTGCCATTGGCACTTCCTCGATCGAGAATGGTGCAACTTTAACTGACAAAACTTGTCCGCTCATTACAAATGGGGACGATGCATCTTCTAAGCCACCAAAGAGTGATGAGGCTGAGCGCATTGATAAGCTTGAAGAAAAATTCCGTCAAATGCAAGGCTTTGATGATCAACTCTCATGAGGTCTTGCTCACATTGTCAAGGTCCAAGTCCCTAAGAAGTTCAAAGCGCCTGAGTTTAACAAGTTCGATGGCCTTTCCTGTCCTAAGATCCATTTACAGTACTACACAACGAGGATGGCGCCGTATGCCGATAATGTGCCACTCATGATCCACACTTTCCAAGATAGCTTAACCGGACCCCCCTTACAATGGTTCGTTTTGAAGAAGATTCACTCGCTCAAGACATGGGAGGATTTGTCTGATGCCTTCATCCGTCAATACAAATTCAATATTGACGTGGCCCTGTCTCGTGAGGATTTGATTCGCACTGAGAAGAAAAAGATCGAAACCTTCAAGGCCTATGCCACTAGGTGGAGAGCTTTAGCTGTGCAAATCATTCCCGAGTTAACTGAGAAAGAGATGCTCGATACCTTTATGAAGACTTTACCATTCGAGTTTCGTAATCGAATGTTGGGTTCCAATTTTAATTATTTAGCTGAGCTGATACCAGCAGGAGAACGTATCGAGATCGCCCTGCGCGACGGTTGGGCCACTGAGCAAACTACCTCCGCTAAGAAATTCACCCTCAAGAAAGATAAGGAACCGGCACCTGAAGTGAATGTAGCTTACTCTCAACAAAGCCATGACACTGCTCCGACAATGCAGTCTGCTGGCAAACAACAAGGTGGACGCCAATTCACTAGTCGACAACAAGGTACTAAAAGGAACTTCACGCCTCTGCCTGGGCCGTTATCCAAAGTTCTGCCTGCCCTCCAAAAGAAAAATTTGCTTTCAAGTGAGCCGAAACGCCCGAACCCGAGCGATTCTCTGGTTATGACTCCTCTAAAAAATGTGAGTATCATATGGGGGAGGTCGGTCATTCTACTGATGATTGTTACGTAGTGAAACATAGAATTCAAGACCTCTTGGACACAAAGGCATTCTCTTTCTGCAGTGATCAACCAAATGTCCAGCGGAACCCTCTACCCAACCATGTCGGAAGCGCGGATGCTGTTATTGAGTAGAGAAATTTCTGTACTCCTCTGCAAAGGAGTCTTTCATGCTTTCTAGGATTTCAAGTGTTTTCTAAGATTTCAATTCATGTTTATGTTTTTATTCGTAGGGGTTTGATTATTTGCATTTCCCTTCCAATAATGTAATTCATTCGACTCTATTCAATGAAATTACAAGTTTATTTGCATTTTGAGGGTATGTTGAAGTATACCAAACTAGCCCGGTGATGATATCCAACCATCTAAAGAAAATATCATCCAGGGAGAAATTCTGAGGGCTGGGCTTTCTCATGCTCCCTCCAAAAAAGACTTTCCGAAAATAAAAAGCATTTCATTGCTTTAAAAAAAAACCTTTTTCCAAATCATGCATCAAATAAACCCTGTTTGTTCGTCTGACTCATTTACTTCATGTCTCAGAGCATAATACTCTAGCTTGTTATGATAAGAAAATGACACATCCAGTTCAACTGTGATGAACCCATTCGTTCAGTTGAGAGCTAACAAAGCCTTCGAAGGAAAGTGAGCTTGCAAAGACTTATCTGGGGGCAATGAATCATAACTTGATTTGGTGTGGTGCTATATCTGGAAAGCCAGAAAAGGAGATGACAAATCGGGGGCATGACAGACTCCTGTAGCAGCCATTGAGATAATTCCTTGGATAATCGA